TAGGATAGGAAATTTGAGGTAGTGAGTGAGTGATGGATGGGTGAGATGTGGTGAGAATCTCAGTTGCCAGCAGCTCGAATTGTCACCGTTTTTCACGAACAAAGTTAACGTGGCAACAATAACAACTGATCCATTTGAGCATATCATTACTCGAAATGGAAATTTAAAAGTGACGCATCTGCTTTGCTGACCATCAATCGCCTTGTTAATCGAAATTTTCCAATTCCCCCAATTCTCTCTAGCTGGTGAATGTTTGGAGTCCCGACACAAATGTTGGCGGTTCCAGTCCTGATAGGGACACAGAAAGTGTGTGCACTGCTCACGAGTTTCAAACAGAACAGGAAACAGCTGTCCAATGCTTTTTGTCGGTTATCATAAACATATCCACTGCATTTAAATACCTTAGTTCCCCTACATTTACTACAATTACAGAATTAAAAGTGACGTTCCTTTACGACAGGTCATGTACAAATCTGTATGCTATTCCAAGCCTATTCAGGCCTAAAGTGTACCCGTTTCAAGATGGGCCAGAACATGCCATAAAGTAGATTAGTGAAGTCACGGTGGAAAGAACAAAAGTAGTTTTTTGAGAAGAATGCAGTACGTGTTGTTGTTGTTTTTGTCCGAATTCGGTTCTAATGACCAAGAAACAAGTTACAAAATCAAGGATCACATTGTAAAAGCTAAGTATAAAAATATATAGATATTTATAAACTACAGGAAATTTGAGGAGCGTTCAAAAATAAAATATATTGAGGAAGATAAATTCATTGGTGCATATATATGCATATATATATGTATGTAGTAAAGAAGAAATTAGTGGACGCCATCAGTAAATGTGTGTAAATTTGAAGCGGTAAAAGTGAAAGATCAATTGGAATGCAAGTGTTTTCCTTTTAAAAAAACACAAGAAATGAATAAAAATGAGGCTAACCGACACCAGGAATGCTGCTGCAAATTTGCAATGGAAGACACATAATAGTTTTCTTTTTTTAAACAGGAATGTCGGGCAGAATCTGTATGGGTCTACTGCGTTCGAGCCATCCACCCCTCCCACCGCGCCCTCGTCGGTTGGGGTTGCAGAGACCGTTCAGGTGGAAAACGCTTTATGATTTTTCAAGAACTTTGCAATCAGCCGCCCAGGTAGTTCTTGAAATCTGGCATAGTCATCCGGGGAAATCACTACCTGATCCGAGACGAGACGATTGACCAAGGTAACACAGAGAACAGCAGCTGTAACATAGAGGAGAAGAGCAGAGCATGATTGATTCGGGTGATAGGATCGCAAAACAGATGTCACTGAATAGCATTTCCAAAAAGGTAACACAAAACACATCACGTCTGCATTGAAAATAATGAATGAAAGAAATGACGGATAGTCCGCATGGTTCTTCGTGTCCGTTTATATGCAGGAATTCACTGGAATGTTGCAGTTCGCTAATATCAACCAACGAAAATAAAATCGATTTCTTACACCAGTATAGATATAATTTTAGAAAATCAATGGTTCAATGTGAGTAATGGATGATTTGATTCAAATTCAAACGCAAAAATCGTCGTGTATATGGCAAACGAAGCGTGAACTGAAAAGCCAGGAAGCCCTGGACAGCTGTTTTGACCTGGTCTCATCAGCGCAGTACGCGAATCCATCGACCCAACTGACGATCGAAGCCGAGACCTCGCAGGTAGAACGCAAGCATGCCACCCACTCGGTCACTGGGTAACTTATCAGGCCGAGTTTCATTTCATTTTCCATCTACATGATGTAGCGTAACTCATCTTCGCGAGCTTGTTGCAGGCCTCAGACCTCGCTCATTGACTTCATTTGTCATATACACGACGAATTTTACCTTTAAAATCGATTCCCATTCGTGATTCTAACCCTCCCCCCACCCCTGGGTGTACAGTAAGTATAGTTGCTTCTCGTGTACAAAATCAAGGATTGAATCGGAACCATTGAGTCAGAGGCTGTGGAAATCTTTACCAAGATGACTGAACAATTGGTGTAAGCTCTTCAACTTCAACACTATTCAGACGTCCGCTAATTCCGGCACAGTGAATGGGTTCGCGGATCAGTCATGACATGCATACGGTTTATTGTTGAGTAGTACAAGTATGTGGCGTCACATTCAATCCATCATACATGAATCGTTTGATTGGTTTGCAAGAAATATAATAAAAGATGACTTCCAAAAACAAATGAATTTCAGTGGAGTGTACGTTGGTGAAAATACAGGCCAAGTGTGAAACTGCTGGAAATTTAGATGCATTTATGCGGCGTGACCGATTTGGGGATAAATTGGACCCCAAGATAATTTAATCAAGTTGTATAGGGTTTATTGGAGCTGAAATTCTCGTATATAAGAATGTTTCAAAAGCTCCAATGTATGTGACCGATCACTTAAAACTCTATTTAGAACTGGGCACATATTGTTTTCTCGCATCTCAAAGACAGTGTCTGTAAAATGAGCGAAATGACGGTTCACATATTTGTATCAACATGCCCAAATGGAGGTTCGGTGAATGAAGCAAACTGGTAGTGACCATAGGACTAATTATTGGACAGATATTTTGACATTTTTTACGACAGGGATCGTCTATTTTTCATTCAAAACGGTTGAACTTAAAATACCTACCGCGAAATTTCTGGCAGTCTGAAATTCTTTCGCAATACATTGTTCTGTCAAAGACCCCAGATAGCCAACTTCCCAACCCCCAATCAACATTGATTAAATGACAAAACGTAACCGTCCAGTCGTTCTTCCTGTCAACCGTCATGTGGCATCTGATTTCATTCATGCTTCAAGTAGTCTTGAAAGTTTCCACGTATGGATAGGTTATTTACTGATTGCAGAATCGATTAAAATTGAACGCTCTAACTAAACATCCTTGAGGCCTAGTATTTCTTCTGTGTGTTCTCTAGCTCCCTTGACGTTGTTCATTTCCTCTGTCACTTCCCACCGATACATTCCTTTGGACCCGGTCCATCTCGAATCACCAAATAAAAGTGGGTCACCTTCACACTTCCTGACTGCTCGCAAGACGACCAGCAGTCACTCTTGCAGGTGTCCTGTGAACTCCAAAAGACCGATAAACGTGAAGTCATTCGAACACCGAACTCCAAACTTGCCAAATTCCACTCAGGCATTCATGGACAGTTTCGTGCAACCGATTGCGCGTAGTTTACACCACTTAGAATTGAATGGGCAGTGAACTTCCCCCAGAATTTTCCCAGGATAGAACGAAAATGACTTCATCCCAATCTCGGTGTTGGGTGAACTTCCCTCGCACATATCGCAGTGATATGCCGAGGTATTTCTTCGTTGAGTTTATTTTGTGCAAGCCCATACACGATGCGGCGCAATCTATCTTTTTAAGTTTATTGCAGATGTCTAACATTGAGCACTTTAACCATTGTCTCTAAGGATTTTGGGCTCAGTTGAAGAAAATATCTAACCTGACTACTTATTACAAAGAAGTAGTGGAGATCCCGCGTTTGATCATCAGTTGGGTTGATAAATTAGCTGATGGGATGAGATATGGTTCAACTAAACACAGCTGTTCTCAGCTATCCTGTTCCTATTTATTTTGTTTCGCATCTAGAAGAAATTTGTCATGTAGCCGAACTAGTTTTTTCCAATTCATATTTTATAACACGGTATCACAGCTAAAGTTAGAACGGATATCCTTGAAGAAATTGTGCATCGTACTCATAGTATTATAGGAATGTTTCATTAAATGCAGTAATAAACACTCATGACCAGATTAGTAGATTAGCGCATCATTCGCTTGGCAATTTTCTAAATGTTTTTTGTTCCGTAGCCGGCAAAATTAATTAAAAAAAGTGGAATTCAGATTGTCGCTGAAATTTGATCATTCCCTACACGTAGTTTGTTCTCTTTTAATTGAAAGCTGAAAATCCGCTTACTGGTAGTCAGTTATTACTTCCCATTAAGAATTTATTGTAGTAATTGATTACCTGATCATGTAGCACTTTGGAGCCATATATTATTCTGAGTATAACGGCCAATTCCGGCTCGTAGTAGTTTTAAAATAGAATTTGCTCTAGTCTGGTATCTGTATGATGCGAAGCGTAAAGTCAGTCTACAGAAGAATTCAGTTTGTACACTATACTCCTACATCGAAACGTATCACAATCCGGCTTGAAAAGAAGCGTACAGGATTTGCCGAGCTCGAACCAGACAGCATTTTGTACAGAGAATGGTGAACATTTATTTACTGTTGGAGATTAAGATTCTAAGACGGTTCAAACATTTCTTTGAGAACAACTGATGAATCACGGCAGTCAGTTGCACTCAATCAAGTAATCAGGTATTGATTCCATCCAACAGGGATACGGGGAATGTATCCTTTATTCTCACTTCCTATGATTGGGCGAGAGGTCGCAATAGTGCCAACCTATTTCTGATGTTTTGTTCACGAGTGAAAATGTGGTTAGTATAATCATATCAATTAGGAATAGATTCGAGCCCAGTGGTAAACAACATCCATGGATTAACTTCGGTATTGTAGTGCTAACCATCAGGTAAGCCATTATCAAGTTTTTCTCACGTTTGATGTTTTCGCACGGGCTCTTTTCACCCGGGACTGAGATCACCAACAATTCTGATGCACCACGTCAAACGATACAAAAATCTAACACAGCGGTAAACGGTTAAACGGTTCATACGCCGAATGATCACCAACTCCATGACACTGGTCCAACCCGGGGTGAACTAACGCTATAGCCGTAACCGCACGATCAATGAAGATAGAGGTGGTCGCCACCTGAGTGGAAACACATTGCCAACTGCTAAACTTTCAACCCCTGTCAGCTTCCTGAAAGATAGGACGCAGTGTCAAAAAGACACAGTATGCCAGCGGGAACACCAGGCCGTACCGATTCAACTCCTACGCATATACATATACATACGGTATATATAGAAAAGACCTGTCCTAAGCTAAACAGTGTGGTGTGCATTAGAATTACAAGACGACCATTACCGTTCAAATGTTGCATTTCTGTACATCAGGCAGACGCACATAATCACCCTGGTATCATTCCACAGGATCTGTCTTACAGATCGCATCCCCAACAGTAATGTGCACCATAATGACTTACCTCGAACTCCAGCTAGTCGGCAAAGGGCGGTGAAACAGGTACACTCCATTTCGAAATTCCTCACTCCCTGTTCGTATGCTCGTCTCAAGTAGGCAAATTTGTCTTCTTCACTGATGCAGCAAAATGCTCCATCCAGTCGCGCTTGTTCTGAAATGTCATTTGAGCATTTGGCAATCAAAAGAATCATTAGAAGTGAAAAGATTTATAGGAATCTGTACACTTTCACACAAACGGTCATTTGACCAAACAAATCATTCGTTTTCCGCGCAATTCGCCTGCAAACAACTGTCAGACCAAGAACCATTGGGGATACGCCATGTTTTCCGATAAAAGACAAACGGTGCTTCGTTCTTTTCTCTGGGTCAACAAAATATTCAAATCCTCGTTAGCATCTTTCTTTCGAGCACAATACACGTGTTTCTCGATGGATTTAAAACGTATTCCTAATCGATTCTGAGTTGAGCTTTAGTTGATAAAACCATCAGTGATGGTGCATTCCGCCCTTTCTCTCTTGTCGGGCTGCAGACAAACTTGTGTGAATGACTAGCTTAATGTTCTCGCGGATGGTAAAGCGACAAAACTG